TCCCAGCTACTTGGGAGGCTGAGGCAGAAGAAATGGCGTGAAACCAGGAGGCAGAGCTTGCAGTGAGCCGAGATCGCGCCACTGCACTCCAGCCTGGGTGACGGGGGAAAAAAAAAAAAAGTGAAAGAGGCCCTTTGGGTCCTCCTCTCACACTGAACCCTTTGAGCCATGTCCCTCCCCTCCACCCTGCAGCAACCTGGGCTGGCTGAGTTATGGGGCCTTGAAGGGAGACGGGATCCTCATCGTCGTCAACACAGTGGGTGCTGCGCTTCAGACCCTGTATATCTTGGCATATCTGCATTACTGCCCTCGGAAGGTAGAGGCCCTCCCTTGGACCCACCTCTCTGCTGCACGCCCTGCCTCGCTGGCAGGGCAAACACTACTTCCTAGAAGACTGTAACAGCTGGCACTGCCACCCTTTCCAGGAAGGCCCCTTCAGCCTTGCAGGTCCCCTTTCTCTATGAAGTCAGCCTTCTGAGATTAACACATTTCCCCCATTTAGGCAAGGCTGGTAGCTCTGCCTAGCCTGAGATGCCTATGCTGCCTGCCCTGGGCTTCTGCCAACAAGCTAAGGGGAAAGGGGTTTTGTCTCCGACAAAACCCATGGGTGAGAACAAGATGATTAGCTCTGCTTCCCTGCTCAATCACACAAGCGTTTATTAAGCTCCTACTGTGTGTGCTAAGCACACAGAAAAAAACACATCTTTCCCTCCCCTAGAAGTCTCCATTGTTGTAGGTGGATAAGACTTTCCTATCAAGTTGTTGGTGGGAAAGAAGCTGTGACAGTGCAGTGCTGAAGGCCTAGACAGTTTGGCTTCCCCACTGGAGCATGGGAGAAGGCAGGATGAATTAACTCCAGCAGGGAAGTCGGAGAGCATGTCTGGAAGTAAGGCTACTCTCTCCCCTGCAGCGTGTTGTGCTCCTACAGACTGCAACCCTGCTAGGGGTCCTTCTCCTGGGTTATGGCTACTTTTGGCTCCTGGTACCCAACCCTGAGGCCCGGCTTCAGCAGCTGGGCCTCTTCTGCAGTGTCTTCACCATCAGCATGTACCTCTCACCATTGGCTGACTTGGTGAGTGGGGATGTCCAATGAGGTAGGAGAGATGAGTCAGGCTCTCATAGCCACATACTATGGCTTACAGTCCCGAGGAAGGGGAGATTCAAACCCTGGAAGGAGACAAGGCAGTAGAGGTGGGTGAGTGGGAGGCAGGAAAGGTTGGGTGACAGATCAGGGAGGGTGCCTGACCTTTTTCTTGAGGAAATTCTTAGGCAAGTGAAGCTTTACAATGTGCTTGAGCCAAGAGAGTCTTTTATTCTTTCCCACAGGCTAAGGTCATTCAGACTAAATCAACCCAATGTCTCTCCTACCCACTCACCATTGCTACCGTTCTCACCTCTGCCTCCTGGTGCCTCTATGGGTTTCGACTCAGAGATCCCTACATCATGGTAAGCACAACAGGGATGGGGTGACAGGGGTGCAAGGTAGAAAACTGGCTCCTCTCCTCATAGCAGTTCTTGTGATTTCAGGTGTCCAACTTTCCAGGAATCGTCACCAGCTTTATCCGCTTCTGGCTTTTCTGGAAGTACCCCCAGGAGCAAGACAGGAACTACTGGTTCCTGCAAACCTGAGGCTGCTCACCTGACCACTGGGCACCTTAGTGCCAGCCTGAACCAAAGAGACCTCCTTGTTTCAGCTGGGCCTCCTGTCCAGCTTCCCAGGTGCAGTGGGTTGTGGGAACAAGAGATGACTTTGAGGATAAAGGGACCAAAGAAAGAGCTTTACTTAGATGATTGGTTGGGGCCTAAGAGATGAAATCACTTTATTTTTTAGAGATTTTTTTTTTTTTTTAAATTTTGGAGGTTGGGGTGCTATATTTAGAATATGCCTTAAAAGGCCGGGCGTGGTGGCTCACGCCTGTAATCCCAGCACTTTGGGAGGCCGAGGCGGGCGGATCACGAGGTCAGGAGATCAAGACCATCCTGGCTAACACGGTGAAACCCCGTCTCTACTAAAAATACAAAAAATTAGCCAGGCGTGGTGGCGGGCGCCTGTAGTCCCAGCTACTCAGGAGGCTGAGGCAGCAGAATGGCGTGAACCCGGGAGGCGGAGCTTGCAGTGAGCGGAGATCGCCCCACTGCACTCCAGCCTGGGCGACAGAGTGAGACTCTGTCTCAGAAAAAAAAATAATAAGAAGAAGAAGTACTTCCTATAGGGCTGAAAGGACCAAGAAAGTGAAATGTCATTTCCATCCTGAGAGATCTTGAGAAGGCGTCTTTGCCTCCTTGGGAGCAAAAATGGGAACACCAGCATGATGCAAAATACAGGCTGAGATGGCCTCAGGAAGGTGGTTCTTTCACATTCACTTCTCGACAGTTAGTACACTGAATCCCCAACACCCATTTTCCATACTCAAACTAAACGAAGTTAGAAAATACTGGCTCTTTAATGGGGCATGGGAGGAAGGGCTGTCCGGACAAGAATGGGGTCAGGCTGTCAGAAGCGCAGCCCCCTGCGGGCTAAGTCGGCTCGGGCCTCCTGTATCTGGCTCTGCAGCTCGCGTGCGGCGTCCTCGCAGTCATGAAAAGTGGCCACACGATAGCCCACAGTGGCCAGGGCATAGCAGCCGGCGGACACCAGCAAGTAGGCGGGCAGTGGCCACAGGACTTCCCAGGAGATCAAGACCATCCTGGCTAACACGGTGAAACCCCGTCTCTACTAAAAATACAAAAAATTAGCCAGGCGTGGTGGCAGGCGCCTGTAGTCCCAGCTACTCAGGAGGCTGAGCCAGGAGAATGGCGTGAACCCGGGAGGCGGAGCTTGCAGTGAGCGGAGATCGCCCCACTGCACTCCAGCCTGGGCGACAGAGTGAGACTCTGTCTCAGAAAAAAAAATAATAAGAAGAAGAAGTACTTCCTATAGGGCTGAAAGGACCAAGAAAGTGAAATGTCATTTCCATCCTGAGAGATCTTGAGAAGGCGTCTTTGCCTCCTTGGGAGCAAAAATGGGAACACCAGCATGATGCAAAATACAGGCTGAGATGGCCTCAGGAAGGTGGTTCTTTCACATTCACTTCTCGACAGTTAGTACACTGAATCCCCAACACCCATTTTCCATACTCAAACTAAACGAAGTTAGAAAATACTGGCTCTTTAATGGGGCATGGGAGGAAGGGCTGTCCGGACAAGAATGGGGTCAGGCTGTCAGAAGCGCAGCCCCCTGCGGGCTAAGTCGGCTCGGGCCTCCTGTATCTGGCTCTGCAGCTCGCGTGCGGCGTCCTCGCAGTCATGAAAAGTGGCCACACGATAGCCCACAGTGGCCAGGGCATAGCAGCCGGCGGACACCAGCAAGTAGGCGGGCAGTGGCCACAGGACTTCCTGGCAGGACAAGGGCAGCTCCAGGCCCAAGGCTCCTGTAGTCAGGGCCGCCCAGGTGGAGCCCAGGATCGCCAGTCCCCAAAGCCACTGCGCTAATTTCGTCATGGTCACTGCGAGAAAAGAAAACAATGCTCCCCTGAGGAGCAGAAAGGAAAAGCGGACCAAACTCAACCGAAGCCCGCCCAGGGAGAGAGCATTTAAACCAGCCGTAGCCAGAGGGGAATCGCCGATCCCAGCGGTCCGAACTTGAGTGCCCACAAAAGGTGGAAGGGTCCCTTCCACCTTGCTACCCCCTCTATATTTGAGACCCACTCCCCATCTCTCGCCCTCTCCGTTCAGCTTTCAACCTACACTTACCTCTGCCCCACGTCTCCCATTCCCCGCGCGGCCCGGATATTCGCGTCCGGAAGTCCTCCCTGGCCCACGCTCCGCTTCCGCGCGGCCTTCTGGGAGTTGTAGTTCACCTGGCGGTCCTTGGCGTACTCTTGGCCACCGCCTCAGTCTAGGCGGGGTCCAGCGGGCTGCGCTCCGCAAACCTGGAGCAGGCTGGGTCTGGAGAGGCCTGGGCGCTGCTTCCCCACCTTGGGCTACGCTCCAGGCTGGCTTGGATCTTGAGGACATCCTTAAATGTTGCCACAAGATGGGAATATAATACTGTTCCCCTTAAACTCAATTCTCCAGAGCTGAAATCCATTCCTTCATTCACTGGTTCATTCATTCGAACATGTCTTTCTTTTCTTTCTTTCCGTTCTTGACAGGGTCTCTCTAGACTGTCTAGGCTGGACAGAACTTTTTTTTTTTTTTTTTTTTTGAGACCAAGTCTC